GATATATGGGATTTAAGATACAGCGCTTTCTGTTTTCTTATCTTCTTTAGCCTGTCCTATTAATAATAACTATTTAATGCCCTCTTTATAGTGAAGAATTTTGTAGTGAGTCTTTGAGAATGACACTCGGAAGGTCCTTGGCCCAGTTGTCATCTTTCCTGTCGGTGGGAATCAATTGGTGATAGTGTGATGTGAGGGTGAAAACTAGCAATGGGAGCACTGTCAGCGCTGGGCTGGAGAAAGCCTTTGGCTGGCTTGCAGTCTCCTTTAGCATGCAGCTTGGGGGCGGGGGGCAACTGCTGAGAGTAAATGGCAATCCTAATCATTGAGCACACCTGAATCCCACAAGTAGTGCATGAGGTGTAGGAAGGTGGGCACAGAGACGTCTTCCTTAAATGGCTTAGTAGAAGATTACTTGTGATTTGAAGAAAAATAAGTAGCACAAAAGTCTCTTGGCATGACCATCAATGGTAAAGCAATGGTTACACGTAACATTGTCACTGTTGTACTTCAAGTGTTTCTACTTGTAACTGGTTTATGTTACAGTCATTATATAAGGCCTTTTAAAAGGTTTTAGTACAATACAGCAATTTAGCTAGACCTCAGGAAAAGCAGTATGTGTTAGGTCCAGTCTGTAGTCCATTGTGTCCAAATTCCTAAGTTTTGGATGTTCTGGACTGTTCTAAATTCTGGATGTTCTGGTAGCAAAACTTTATGTAAAATGAAATTAGTTTTGTCTTAATGTATAGGCAAGCCATAGTCCCATTATATTTTTGTCTTGTTTGTAAATTTTTAATGTTTCTTTTCTGTTAATGAAACAAGTGGAATGAATACTTGTGGAGTCCAAGGCAGATGTCTCTAATGATAATGGGTTTTTTTTGTCTCTCCAATTCAGATATGATGACAAAAATAAACAATTTGCAATACTGGTCATCCAGCTGAGTAATGTTCCAGCACTGCTGTTACAACAAGATAAAAAAGTGTAAGTGGGTGAAAGAAACTTGCTTTTGAAGTATTTGTGTGAGATTTCAGTGAGAATTAAACAGATGCTGTTTTTTGGTTTTTTCACACTCTTAAAAATTTACCCTTTCTGAAATGCTTCTACACTTTGTATGTAGCAATGTTTTTAAATCATAAACCCATAAACTGAAATAAGATGCAGTTTTTTCCTCAAAGGTCTGTATTTGCTGGGAAAGGACTCACCTGGCACTAGCACTAGAGCAATTCCATTGAGTGGAGAGAGGGCTTTTGCTCTTCTAGAGAGCTTATCCTAGGACAGCTAAATCCTACAGAGCTCATCCTGGAACACCTGCGCAGATGCATGTGTGGGGAAAACTGCTGCTTTCTAGGCACAAGTTTTTTAATTTCAGCTGTGTGCTGAATAAACTGACAAACTTTTTTTGCGTCACTGTTTCTACCTATGAAAGGGTACGTTAGCAGTGTGACAAGTCGCGCAGATGTAAACAACTATGTGAGACATAACTCCACGATGATTGATTTTTGAAGATTCAGATGGATGAAGTCTATTAACAACTCATGCACTTCATATCTCTGATGTTGTGATGAGATGTTCCTTTTTTCTCAGTTAACTGATATTCCAGACAATAGGCTAGGAGAGTAATGTCCAGAGTGTTTAGGATGAATTTCGCTTGCAGGTTTATGGTGCTTCTGCAGTGGAGGGAACTGCAAACCCGTACAGTGGTACTGATTGCCACGCTTTTTTCAACAGGAACATTCGCGTGGCTGTCCTGCCCTGTTCAGAAAGCACAAGCTGCTTGTTTCGCACAAGACCAGTGGAAGCTTCAGACAATCTTGTGTACAATGAAGTATTTTGGGTTTCTATCTCTTACCTGGCTTTACGCCAGAAGACTTTAAGAGTCGATGTTTGCACTGTAGATAAGTCTCACCTTGAAGAATGTTTGGTTAGTATTAATCTCTATTTTAATATCTTCGTTTCCTCTTTTGAATTAGACAAAATTTTAAACCCTGAAATATGGCAATTTCTCTGAAAGTGTTACTGGTAATTCTTAAGCTATATTATCTCCCCAAGACAGTGTTCTTTGCAATAATGATTTGGATCAGGAAAAAAGCATATCTATTAGATAAATGTTTTGCTACAGAGCTACGGGTGACTTTGTCAGACTATTAGATTTCCCTTCTCTCATTATGTAATGTGAACTCATATCTGTTTTTCTCCTTTTTTGGATACACTTGTTGTACTGTGATCGAGAATGGACAACTTGCAGGAATTCGGAAGCCAGAATATTAAAGACTTCTAAAGGAATTTTTCAAAACAACTATTAATTTCCACTATTAAAATCAATATAGTTTTTTGAGTGCTAGTATTGCCACAGCCAACCACTCTCTATTGTTAGAAGAGCTTTTCTGTGGCTCAGTATTACCAGAGTAAGTTGAGTTTAATAGAACTATTTCTGCAGTATTGTCCTCCAGAACATGAGCAGCATGAGGGTGTGCTGAGCTGGGACGTAAGCAACCATTAAGATAGAAGAAGAGTTGATGTTTTGTCTTGCATGTATTCTGCAGCATCTCTCTTGGCTGGAGCGGTACATGTTTTATGGTGCTTCTCCTTCTCTTGCTTTGCAAAGCGAACTTTAGTTCAGGAAGACGTCATCTGTTTTCCAAATGAGTTTTTTCTCTTTTGGCAGTGTGTCAGTCCCTGAGCTCCAGGTCTGAGCACGCTGACTTGCAGGAAGTGTGCTCAGCGTACAGTCTGCTGGACTTCTGGTGCAATGAAGTTCACTCAGACATGGATTAATAAACTGCAAATCAGTTTTACTGTGGTTTTGAATGTGTCACGATGCGTACTAAATGTAACGCAGTCAAAAATGACAGGGCAGGTGAAGAGGAAAGGAATACACAAAAGTAAAGCATCTCAGTCTGAAGCAGTGATTTTTGTTAGCCTTGCAGGTTCCTTAAAAGCGAGTCTTCATTTCCTGCTCCTTTCTCTTTTTCTTTGAAGTTCTGGCTGCAGCAGCACTATTCATAGTGCTGGATTCTTGTACACAGGAGCTGTAGTGAAGCACTTGCTACTTGAATTGGAAGTCCTAGACAATGTTAAAAATAATCATAAAATGTACTATATAAACAAGGCAATTTTTCATCTCGAACTTGATGAAGTCAAGTAATCCTGGATTTTCACTCTCATTTCTCCTTACTGATGGGGAAGTGGTTCATTTTTGTATTACACTAAAACTGTGATTTTGCTCTCAATAGGGTGGAGCACAAATTAGCCTTGCTGAAATACGTAAATCCGAAGAGAAATCAACCCGTTGGTATAACCTCCTTAGTTATAAGTATCTGCAGAAGCAAAACAGGAACAGCAAACAAGGAAACATTCACTCTGAAGTACCCTGCACTGAAAAAACAGTAAGAACAACTGCTTAAATCAAACAAATCTATTCTAAAATGTACTGATGAGAGTTTTTTATGGCTAAAGGACTGCTAAAATAGATGAGAAGTGAAGGCTGGTGTGTTTATATTTAAAACTTGAAAATGTCATTAACTGCAGCAAAATAATTAACATGTCAATTGCAGATATGCCCTTGTCCTGGGCTAAATACTTACTGAAATCTGCTCCTCACGAAGATGAGGGATATGGTATGTGGTCTGTTGTAAGTGACGTCTGAGCTCTTGCCTTTCTTCCTGCTAGACAGCTCACATTGCTGCAAGGAACTTGCTGAACAAGTCCAGAGGCAGATGTACCTCTGCACGTGCATGGCATGTGAGCTGCTCAGCCTATATCTGTACACGTGCACATGCTGGTGTAACTGGGGGGAGGTGGGCTGGGTGTGCTCACACAGGCTTGACTGAGCACTCTATGTTCGATAGGCTGCTTGAACAGCGCGGATGTAGAGACTACAAACCTATCCTGCCACTAGAGGAAAGCTGGTTGCGGTTATTCTGATCAGAAAGACTGCACGCTTTGCAGGTTGAGAGTTGTATCTTCACAAGAAGTCTCTTGCTGTCCTCAGGACTCTGTCTCAGTACTCTTAGAGCAGACAGCTGTTGAACTGGAAGCTGTGGAGAAGAAGCTGGAGGAAAGCAGAAGCACTTTAACCAGTGGAGAGAGCTGGTAGGTAGCATTCCACCACCTTAGTGTTGTGGGACGATCAGAGCATTTGGGGATTCACGTGAGAGTAAAAAACAGATGATACAGGGCTGTGGGAGGCTACTTCCGTTTCTTCTGTTCTGGAGGTTGTGGTTGGGAAATGAGAACAAAACTGATAAACGTTATAAAACGGTCAATAGCACTATGCTAATTTTGTTATTTGTACAATGTTCTACAGGTATCCGTGAAAGCTCCACTGCACGGTGCAAGACTTTGCTTGGATATTAATTTTGGCTGTTGTTTACAGGGTTCGGGTTCAGATTTTAGAAATGAAGCCCAAATAAAAAGCAAGCAATGGGTTTGAAGTCAACTGTGAGTTCAAGGGAGCTGAAAAGAATGTTGAACAATTCTTCAGTTTTGTCCAGCATTGCTTTTAAAGATTAATGGCATCCTGAGGGCTCCCTCTAAGATGGACTCACCTTAGGCTCAGACCACATGGCTAAACCCTCACCTTGCTTTTCTGAAGGAAGATCAGTATGAAGGTTTTGGCTGTAATGTTTGCCTTCTGGTGCAGCTTCATCCCAGTTTCAGTTATTCTCTTGTAAGCTTTGTGTTTGAATAATCTCAGTGGCTACGGGACCTGCCAAGTACAATGGCCTGCCATGGGAAAGTGTTTCTGTTCGGCAGCTTACAGGAGGTAACTCCTGCTGCAGCACCAGAGGATTGTGCACAACAGTCCAGTTCAGTAACAACGCTGTTCTTAACAGGCAAGATGAAGAGATTCCTGATCAGGAAGAACAGGATGAGATCAGTGAAAATGAACCAGAAGAGGAGGAAGAATTCTATGCTGGAAAATCACTGTGGGGAGCAGAACAAAGTCTGAATCCCCAGCTGCACATGGAAGTAGCAGTAAAGGTAAAGACATGGAGCTGTTGGAGCAGGCTCAGAGGAGGCCACAAAAGATGATCCAAGGGTGGAGCACCTCTCCTGCGAGGACAGGCTGAGGGAGCTGGGGTTGTTCAGCCTGGAAAAGAGAAGGTTCTGGAGAGGCCTTATTGCAGCCTTTCAGTGCTTAAAGGTAGCTTATAAGAAGAATGGGGACAAATGTAGTAGAACCTGTAGCGATAGAACAAGGGGTAATGGAGTTAAACTAAGAGGGGAGAATCAGATTGGACATAAGGAAGAAATTTTTTTATGAAGAGGGTGCTGAAACATTGGCACAGGTTACCCAGCAAGGTGGTAGAGGCCTCATCCCTTGGAACATTCAAGGTCAGGTTGAACAGGGCTCTGAGCTACCTAATCTGGTTGAAGATGTCCCTGCTTATTGCAGGGAGGTAGGACTAGATGTCCTCTGATGGTCCCTTCCAACCCAAAGCACTCTGTAATTGTGTTTAACTGTTTCTCTACCTGAAATCTTCTAAAATAACTTTACATGACCATTTTGTCTTGCAGTTTATACAGCGTTGTTTCCTTCTTCTTGCTGCTCATGAATACTGTTTTCATTAATGTGACTCTGACCTTGTTTAATTCTGAATGTGGTTTAGTATCACAAACATGTATTGCAGATGTGCTGTCTGTGCACGTACATACAGCGGTTTGGATCTTTGCTGCAGTTGCGCAAGTAAGGGGATGGTCTTTGACATCATACCGCTGTTCTGTGTGTGACTGCCAGGTCACACTGATGTACTGGATCAACAGGCAAAGCTTGTTAGAATCAACCGTTGTACAGCAATCAATGGCTGCGGAGCCCTTAGGGAGCGATACAGTTAATGTAGCAGCTACTTGGCTCAAAGAGTGAAGTGTCAGGACACCCTGCATGAAAAGGGCTAAAGAATATCTGGTTTTCAATGTGATGCCTCTGGGACTGAAAGCAGAGACGTATCACAGGTGGCTGTGAGACAGCCTAGAGCGTGTGTTAATGGTAAAATAGCAAGCTGGCACTTACGCTGCAGTATCTGTCTTTCAGGTGGATAAAGAGACGAACACTGAGAGCCTTGCACAGTCTTCTACTGTAGTTCGTCCAAAAGACAAAAGAGCAGCGAATCCACCCCAACATCAATTTGTCAGAGGTAGCACTATCATCCGCTCAAAAACATTTTCACCGGGACCACAAAGTCAGTATGTGTGTCGGGTAAGGACAATGCAATCTTGAGGTTATAAATGCTATGTTTCATTAATGAATGCACGATGCAGACATTCACTTGGTCTGAATTTTTCACAGACACCTGACATTGCTTGCTTCTCTCTCTTTTGGGCTTCGGAAGTTGCTCTTTCCTCACCTCCTAGACAGTATCTTTCCTTGGAACTAATAATATTAAGCACAAATGTATATCGCAGAATGTTAGGAATTGGAAGGGCCCTCTGGAGATCACCCAGTCCAACCCCTGCCAGAGCAGGATCACCAGAGCAATCACACAGGAACACGTCCAGGGCTTTGGGTGTCTCCAGAGAAGGAGACTCCACAACCTCTCTGGGCACCCTGGTCCAATGTCACCCTCACAGTGGAAACGTTCTTCCTCATGTTCAGGTTGAACCTCCAGCTTGTACCCACTGCCCCTTGTCCTG